GCACGCCTGTTCCACCTGGCGCCTGATCACAACCCAGGTCATCCCATCTTCCAGCGGAGACCTGTAGGCTGGAAACCTCTGCTTGATCTTCTCGGCTGCAAGCTTCGAGTCAGTGGAGAAAGTGTCGCTCAACGTAGTAAGAGATCCATGCCTGGGCGAAATGATCTGCCACCGCCTCGACCACCTGCCCCTCCCCCCCACGCCCGACTCCTCGAAGAAGGGGGATGTCGTGCATTCCAGCGTCGTCGTCGTCGTAGTTTTCGTCGTCGTCATCGTCGTCGTCGATGTTTTCGCGCCAGCCGAGGCCGCCGAGCGCGAAGCGCGATTACCTTCGCGCTCCGAGGCGCCCTTTTGCATGGGGATTGGCCAAGGTAATGTGGCTGAGCACTTCGACCCAACTATCCTAACGCAACGGTGGCCCGCGACCGTGTGGGACGAGCTCACGGAGAATATCTTGACCTCATGGTCGATCAGAGGCGCGAGGTGCCCGTCGCTGTCGGCGATCAGCTTCAAGTTGAAATCCATCATCTTCTTGCCCTGCGGGCCGTCAGGCCGCTCGAACGCAATCGCTGTCGGGACCCTCGGGTCCCAGCCCGCCTGGCAAATCCGTTGAATGAGAACGTGCACATCGGGAACTTCAATCCCAATGCCGTCTCTGTTGTCGCAATGAACGCCGACTTCTTTGCAATCGTGAACTTCCTTGACCGCAAGATCATTGGTCAACAACTGCTCTATCAATTCGTGGGACTTCGCTTTCAATGCCTCGCAGTCGCCATCTCTGAACTTTGCGATCGTCTCATTGATGTAGGGAGCGACCTTCGCCAAGCTCGCCTGCAGAGTCGGGTGGTCCATGGCGGATCATGCACTCACGTCAGCGCTGGCGTGCACACCTGCGCACAAAATCAAATTGACGCGAAGTTTGATCAGAAATGGCAGCGGAAATACTAACAAATGCGAGCAACAACTGAAAATATGTGAACAAGATCTGAAAATATGTGTGCGCATATGGTCACAGCCGCATCACATGCTCTCTGGCTAACCTACTTAGTAAACTTGGCCACCGTGGTTACTAACTCACATCTGTTCTACCTTCGAAATCTATACAAACATATTCGGACCAAGATCCCTAAGCCCGATAAGAAGGATGGTAAGGGTGTTATGCTTGTTCGCTCGTTTACGGTAAGATGGTTCGTAAAAACAGCTCGGAGGAAAGGTCACGTGCCTAAGGTCGCTATCACCATGGGCCTGTTTACAACCACGGTCCGCAACATGTATATGGTATATATATAGCTTGCAGCACTTGCAACAACTTATAATATGTGTATAAAGCAAATAGATCATATTATACATGATTATATGGAACGCAAGCGCTTAGCAAAACACACATCGATCCCAGCAGAGCACCCCTCGCGAGGCCCAGGGGGCCCCAGGGGCTCCAACATGGAACGAGAAGGTGGGGGTACTTGAGCCAGGGGCACCTTGAGCAACCCCCGACCAGCTGCCGCCGCTGGAGCTGTCGGCATCGGCGCTGGAGCCCCCGCACGGCGGCGGCGGTGCTCTTCTAGGCCTCCCACATGGGGTCCGAGCAGGCGGGGTTCAGAGGATCGCGCCGCATCGCCGATGCATCGCTGATGCGGCTCGATGTGGGGCCCCATGTTCTCCACACCGAGGGCGCCAATGCATCGGCAATGTATCGCCGATGCATCGGCGATGCGGCGCGATTTTCCGACCCCATCTACGCACTCGGACCCCATTTCGGAGGCCTCTAGTAGGTGCCAGCATTGCGCGTCCGCCCTCGCGGGAGCGGGCGGTCGCGCCGCCAGACCCCGCCCTGGAGCACGTGCGCGGCCTGAAGTTGCTGCACATCTCCAACTGGGACATACGCCCGCCGCCGGAGACGGTGGACAGGTCGGGGCTGACGCCGCTGCCCGGTTGGGAGGGCAAGGTGGGCGACGCAACAAAAACGGGTCCGTTTGCGCCGACTTTCGCACGTAAGCTTCCCGCGCAAGGTCGCGCGCGTAAACGCCTTCTTCTCCGATTTGGCGTGCCACGCTGGCGGTTCGCGGAAGCCGCGGCGCGAGGTCGATATGCCATCTCTCGTGGGACCCGTGCCATCTCTCGCTGTGCTGGAGGAGGAGGAGGCGGAGGAGGTGCAGGATGAATAGCAGGAGGAGGAGGAGGAGGAGGAGGAGGAGGCCGAGGAGAAGCAGGAGGGAGGAGGAGGCCGAGGAGGAGCAGGAGGGAGGAGGATCTTGAATACTCCCCGTCTTGTTCGCTCAGGTGGGCCAGTCGCGCAGCAGGGCGGCCGAGGCGAGCCCAGCCCTCGGGCCCGCCGCCGCCCTGGCCGGGGTGGCCTCCGCCGTCCTGGCGGACTCGGTCGCGCCTTCGGCACCTGCAGGGGGGGGGGGCGCGGCTGCGCCCGCCGCGGAGGAGGCTCGGAGGGTCGTCAAGAGAGTCAGAGTCAGGAGGGGGAAAACACACAGACACACTTCATCGTCGATTCCCCCGAAAATATGGGAAAATATGGGAAGTGGAGGGGAAGACAGAAACCCCGCAAAATATGAGAGAAATTGAGGAATCTGGTTATTTGTGTCTGTTTGTTTGTGTGTCCCAGATCCCCTTCACAGAGGAGGAAAAGGTGACCCACATGCCTCTGCCCTCCCCTCGCTCTCCCCTTTCTGGGCCTCCAGGGCCTACGTCGTGGCCGCGGCTGGATTCGCCTCGAGATCCTGGTCTGAACGCACCCCGGGAGAGGTCGGGGGAGTGGCGGCATCGGTACCTTTTGGCTTCCCCAGATGGGGCGCCGCCTGGTCTCGAAGGTTTGGGCACGGTCTCTGAGGCCTGGGCCAGCCTCTGCATGTGGGCTTGGCATGCCAAGTGACCCCACGAGGGCGGGGAGCACTGGAGCCCGTGTTTCATCCCCTGGCGACGACGGGCGTGGCCAGGGTGGGAAGGGTGGAGGGGGCTGGTCACGCAACAATTCGCGCCGGCGCCGTCTGGGAAAGCGTGAGCATGTCCAATTTCCAGACGGCGCCGGCGCGAATTGATGTGACCAGGGGGCGGGGAGGGGGGGGTCATTGGTGTTCGAGCGAATGATAAATGCGCTCCTGCAGCGTAGCACACCCAAGCATAGGAGGACTTGTCATTTTGGCGTAGGGGTTGTATGGGGTTGCGGCAGCAGCTCTGGTGTTCAGCGCTAGCGCATGGGGTTGGCAGAGGAGACGCAGGATTTCCATTGTTCCCCTGCTCTGGGCCACGACCCCTGCTTGGAGGACCGGGGGGAGGACGTGAAATGAGAAGTGCCGCGGGGTGGACGGGAGTGTCGTCGAGCGAGGCACAGCGAAGCAACGCCACACAAAACAAAGCAAGTAAGTGAGTAAGAGTGTGAGTGGCTAGGCTGGTGAGCGAGTAACCGAATATAGAGCCCGTATACAGGTAGATGGGTAGCAAATTTGGGCGGTGGTAGATACGAGAACAGAAGAGGAAACCACCAGTGGAGCAAAGCGAGTGCGTAGTTGATGGAGCGGGCGAGTTGGCGCGAATGACCCGACGAAGGCCCCCAGGTACGCTTTGTTTCGCGATGCGACCGGCCTTGGCCTCCTCGGATCGGGCAGGCGCCAGCGGCGCCGCGAGCCTCCGACGGCCTCCGAGGGCCTTCGAGGGCTCCCGAAGCCCTCCGAGTGCTTCCGAGGCGGCTGCGATGGCCTCCGAGGGCCTCCGAGGGCCGCCGAGGGCCTCCGAAAGGCGCCTGCTATAGGGCCTCCGAGGGCCGCCGAGGGCTTCGAGGCACCCGCGAGGGCCTCCCGCGGCGCCTCCGCGGCGCCCGCCGACGGCCACCGCGGGCCTCCGAGGCGCCGCGCGCGGGCCTCGCAAGGCGCCGCCGAGGCGCCTCTGGAGCCGAGTGTTCTCGAGCTCCTCCTCCTCCTCCTCCTCCTCCTCCTCCTCCTCCTCCTCCTCCTCCTCCTTTTCCTCCTCCTCCTCCTCCGCCTCCTCTTCCTCCTCCTCCTCCTCCTCCTCCTCCTCCTCTTTCCGTAGCCATTTTGGTTCAAGATGCTTTGTTCCACAGGGGAACACGTGGATACCGCTAGTCCGCGGCTAGTCATCAGTTGTTTCTTGGCCCGATCAGTTCGCCCTGATCCGAGGTCATTGCCCCGCGCGGCCCTCCTTGTCTTGTGGCTGGCCTCGTTACCCCCGTGGGTAGGCGAAGGACCATGGCGCCTGGAGGCCGCGGAGGTGGCGGCGGGAGTGGCGCGCTCACGCCCGACTGGTACTGCAAACACTGCAGGTACGAAGGGGGGGCGCGAGTGGGCATGCCATGCATCACGTCCGGGAGCAAACGCAGCTGCTTCTTCTGCGGCGGGGACAAGAGTAAGGTGTTCCTCGGCCACGTCCGTGGGGAAGAGGAACTGGCACGGCAACGTCAGCAGTGCAGCCCAGCGGCTGCAGGCGGGAACGGCGCTAGCGGCGGGAACTCGACGGCGATGCAGATGGAGGTGGCGCGCCTGCGGAAGGAACTCAAGAGTTTACGGGCGGCGGCAAAAGCGGGACGCCCTGCAGACGGGGCGAAGCCTGCTGGCGAAGGTGGAGAGGAGGATGAAGACGAGGAGTATCGGAAGGAGCTGGAGAACCTGGATTTCCAGCTGCGTGCGATGCGAGCGTTCGAGTCACCAGCGCAAGACGTGGTGGACACCATCGAGAGGCTGGAGGCGCAGAAGCAGGCGAAGGTGGACGAGCTGCGGGCCAAGAAGCCTCTGCTCACCCAGCTGCTCGGCCTGCAGCGCAAACACAAAGCGAAGCAGGAGGCCATCGAGAAGCAGGATGCCGCGGTGGCCAAGGCAGAGGAGGCGATCGTGGCGGCGAAGCTGGCCCTCGAGAAGGAGAAGGCCAAGGCGAAGGCGCTGCGCGTGGAGGCTGTGGAGCTGGAGCAGAAGGTGTGTGAGCTCACGGCCCAGATGCCCATGCCACCAGACGAGAAGGACACCCCCGTGGCGGAGGGGCCGACGCTAAACCTGGAGGACCTGGGCGCGATGCTGCAGGAGCTGGGGGCCTCGGGTGACGTGGCGGAGCGGCTGCTGCAGCACCCGGAGCTGGAGGAGAAGGTGCTCACGCGTGTTGGCGCGGTGCGCCCTGTTCATGAGGGGGCTCATGGCGGCGCGAGCGGCAGCAGCGAGCCCGACCCCAAGCGGATCAAGGTCGAGGCGGACAGCGCGCCGATCGACCAGCTCAGGACCAGCTTCGAGGCCGCAGGCCTGGGCGCCCCCAGCGAGGAGACCGAGCTCCGCGCGATGGCGCAGAAGATGGCGGCGGCGTCCAGGTGGGCCCACAGGGCTTACTAAGGTGTGGGAGCTGGTTGTGGTACTGATGCTTGTAGGCATCATGACGGAAGCTTCCAATAACGGCGATGTGAGCGGCAGTTTGGGCACTGCCAAAGGTGCGTTGACCACGGTGAATGTATCATGCGGCCGCGGGTTGACGGAGTATTTGGCGGATCGGCCCGTGGAGGGCGCCTTCGCCGTGCAGGAGCACATGGTGAAGGAGATCAGGCTGAGCTCGCTGCAGAACCAGGTGCGCGACCTCGGCTACCACGGGCTGTGGGCGCCAGGGTAGTCTACTGGCGACGGGCCCTTGGACGTTTCGGGGGGCGTGGCGCTTCTCGCGAAGACGGAGGCCTCGGTGACGGCGCCGCCCTTCGCTTGCCCCCATCCTGGAGGAGGCAAGGTTGCTGGCAGGACATGTTCACTGGGGAGTGAAGGGCGGCATCATCGTCGCGGTGGTGCACCTGCGGCACACGGCGGGCACGGGCGACGGCAACTAGGACACGGTCCACGAGTTGCGAACCTACCCGCGCGTGCTCAACGCACGCAAGCTGGACTGGGTTGCCACGGGGGACTGGACCATGGAGGTCGACGAGCTGCACGGACCATGGCTGGAGGAGGTGCTAGGCATCCCCGTCGTGCCACCAGGGCCGACATGCTGGAAAGCAGAGGCGGGCTCGTGTCTCGTGCCTGGACCATGTCATTGCGGCGCCCAACTTGGACACGAAGCTGAAAAGTGCGCGGGTCACTACCGAGGCGGCGTTGTACCCGCACTACCCTGCGCACGTCGACCTTGCCAAGGTGGATCGCGTCGACCACATCAGGGCGGTGGTCGAGCCGCGGGGCTTCGGGGCCGCCCCGCCGATAGGGGCGGCACCGTTCCCCAGGGTCAAGATGTGGGAGGAGGCGCTGCAGACGGTTATCGACATCGACGACGCCAGGGGCCTCGAGCAAGCGTGGGACGTGGACGCGGTGATGAGGGCGATCGAGGAGGACCTGCGTGACCGATGGTTTCTGCGTGGCAGGAGGAGGCGTCAGCACCAGGGACGCGACGGAGAGCCTGAGTTCAAGATGGTCCAACCCAAGTGGCAGCCGCCCCGCAAGCGGCGGCTCCACGGCCCCAAGGTGAACGCGTACATGGTGGCGGCCCGCTGGGCCAGGCACCTGGACAGGTATCGGGGCCGGCTCATCGGGCTGCTGGCGGACAGCGCTGAAGCCTAAAAACTATTCGTGCTCTGCTATTTGTTTGGAGATGGTGATGACTTTCTGGACTTTAATCGAGCTGCAGATGAGCTACAGAGCTGTTCGGCACAGCAAGCGGAAAACATATATTCAGGTGCACTAGTTTAAAGTATCTAGACGCCTGAACTCTGTCTGCTATCAGCGCTGGGACCGAAGAACTATTCGTGCCGTGCTAATTTTTCGAGATGGCGATGGTTTGCACTACGCTGTTCGGCGCAGCAATCGGAAGGAAATCGACAGGTGCGCCAGCTCAACGTGTCCAGACGCCTGAACTCGGTCTGGTATGACTCTAATTTTTTGTCCAGAGATGCAGTCCTCTCACTCTTTCTTCTCTTCCACGTCCTCCTCCATGAGACCGCGCCAACCCGCGCGCGCAATGCGAGATTGCCGCGCTCGCACTGCACGAGGATGCTCCACGAGTTCCCGGCGGTCACCAAGGTTGACGGTTCACCGCCGGCCCCCATGGCAGCCGCCCCGCAAGCGGCGGCTCCACGACCCCGAGGTGAACGCGTGCATGGTGGCGGCCCGCTGGGCCAGACACCTGGACAGGCATCGGGACCGGCTCATCAGGCTGCTGGCGGACACCACCAACGTGGACGTGGACAAGGTGGTGGACCTGCTCGGCGAGATCCAGAGTTTCTACGACAACGTGGCCAAGGCGGACTACGTGCGGGAGCGCCTCGACGAGGATGTGGTGCAGTGGTTCGACGGCGGCCTCGAGCGGATGGGCCAGGGCCAGTGGGCGACCAAGGTCCAGTCTGTGATCGGCGAGGCGGAGAGGCTGAGGAAGAGCTACGAGCTACGGTAAGGAATGCGACAAGGAGTGGAGGGCCTGGGCTGCCAGGAGCCTCGAGGGAGGCGCACGAGCAGCGCATGACTTCACACGCCTACCCCTAGCGGCTGAAGTGAGGAGGGCCACGACCCGTGGCAGTCCACGCCAGCT